AAATAGTAATATTTTACATACTTAAATGTATATAAAAAATTTTATGTTAAAAAACTAAAATATATAAATAAAGATTATGTTCATACTTCATGTATTTAATTTTAATAATAAGTCAATGCAGCTAACAACACAAGGTTGGTTCTGCTGAACACATTTTTTTCTACAGATTACTGTAATGGATGTGTTAAATTTGAATTGATTCATTGATAAATAATTGTTCTATAGATTTTAATCGAAGAAGGTCTTTTTTATTATTGTTATTTTAAAATTTTGAAAAATTCTTAAAAATATAAAATTTGTTCGCCTGACTATACATTTTTTTATTTATTTTATTCCTAAGTTATTTAACTTAGAAGAACATTGTCTTAAACTCTTAACTTTTAAAAATTCAATTTAAAACAAAACATTTTATCATTCTTAAGTCGAATATAAACTATAAAAAGTTGAAAATTTCAATTGTCTATAAATAACTTAACAAGAGTCAACATATTTTTTTTTTTTTAATAGCTTTTATAGCAGTGTTATTACGTATACATTTTATAAAAAAATAATTATCGAAATTGAAAATATTGTTTACCGTAGAGCATCACCCATTTTAATGTATATATATTTTTTTTTTTACAGAGTATAGACTCGCCACCAGCAGAACCATCTGAAGTTGAAGTTCCCCATCATTGGGTAAGATTTTACTTTTTACTACAATATTTTATTATTTTTAATTTAATATATTCCTAAAAAAAAAAAAAAAACTGGAAAAAGATAGAACGAAAATTTTTGCCCATCTTCTTTTAATATAATTATAAAATTATATAAATTGCTTTGTGTCTATATACATTTTTGACAAATCTTATCTTGCATCTTTAAATTTAAAAATAATTTCTAAAGTTTAAGATAATTAAGGTATAAGGTTTTATGGATTTTTAAACCAATTACACTGCGCGTACAGGTATGTTTTTTACTGTTGTAGTTGTGTTACTGTAGATTTGATCACGATTTTTCTAGTTTTATTCTTTGAAACCTTGCGAAGTTATCAGATTAGTTGCAAATTTATTATTAATGTAATAACTAAAATGTAGTGATAAAAATTTATATTTTTAATTAGTAGAAGTTTGAAATTAATTTTATATGCTAATATAAATTTTAGTTTTTGTAATAATAAAATATAATTTAGAAACTTAAAAGTATTACACATTTCTAATATCTAAAAAAAAATAATCAAAAGGCATATTTGTTACTAAGTTATACTTATTTGATTCATTGCCCATTGGTAAGTAATATTTACAATGTATGGTTCTTCACATTTAACCCCAACAAAGAAAACTTAAAACACTTGTTTTTATTTGTACAGCTTAACAAGCACGTACACTTAGCAATTCTTTTGTTCTAGTTTTTAACATGTAAATAAATTAAATATCTGCAATAATGTATAACTTAATGTATATTGGTATAATAGTTTAGAAAATAAATGTTTCTAATACTAACGTTTTTGTTAAAAACAATTATTTAATCGTTCTTTAATTTTTTTAGAATATTTTAGTAAATTTTTTAATCATCATAAAATACAAAATGTTTCATTACAATTTATTTAGTATCATATGTACGTAAAATTAGTCTCAAATTAGAATTAGAAACAGATCGATTTATATATATATTTATAAATCCATAACCTATGTATAGTGTTATAAATAAATAAGTATGAGTAATGAGTACAGAATAATATTTATTAAGTTCGAGAATCGAAAAATATTTTGGCCGAATCTCGGATTTATCCATTATATTTTTATTTTATAATGTATCCTGGTCATTTTTTATTAATTTTATCTTGTGATCTATCCCAGATCCCTATATATTTAAAACTCAATTTAAAGATTAAACTTGATCAGTAATCATAAATTACATACTTTATATATTGATTAAATTAATGCAAGTTTTGGTATACTAGAATAATTATTGACTAAACTAATATAGATGTATCTTTCGGTTTACATTGATTTATTTTTAAGCTGTGAATTATATTGTTTTTGAAGTTTATACGTTATTGGTTTGGAATGCCTTTAAATTAAAATATAAGAATGTTTTATTCACTATTTATTATTTGTAAATACGATTATAATTGATATTAAATTAATTAAACTATAATTTAAACGTATTTAAGTAATATTAACTATTTCTTTGATAAAATAAAATTTGTTATCCTTTCTATCATAAATTATTAGGTACATTTAAATATTTAAATTTCCAGTTTTTTTTTTTTTTTTTTATTAAAAATGTTTATAACTTGATTAATAAAATATCATATTATAATTAATAACCAAATATTTATATATATTTAGCACGTAGTATAGGTTTGATGAATTTTAAATACGTGTGTTGGTTGAAATTCAGATTCATAAAATCATAAAGCTGGATTTTGTATTTATGGAATTTGTATGATGCTGCGTAACAAATGTTGATTTTAATGTAATTTGTTAACCTTTTTTTTCAGTAAATATCGTATAGAATTTGGTCCCTTTATTCTTTTTGTGCACGGGTTTACCAAAACGTTTCATATTTTTTTCTCTGTCTTTAAAGCGTGCTCTCACGTATGTTCGCTTTTCGGCCTCCGCGTTGATGGGGTAGTGCAATATTATTATTATATACATGTGTAGCAGTAATATAATTTTTGTAGCGCAGCAAGAAAGGACCAGTAGTTCAATAGTTAGAAACATCTGGCAAAGTGGCATCCGATGTAGGTAGTAGGATACACCGTGGCAGCATACAATGTTCAGTTGTAACTATTCAGATAACACCGCCGTCATGGTGCGTCTACCACTTCCCTCTAACTCCTGCTGGCCCATGACCAATGCATTGAACGGCAAGGGCTTTTTAGTTTTAATGAATGAAATATTAATTTTTAACGGCACACCCATTTCATAATGACTCGATGAAATAAGTTTTTATATTATAATTTCATCAATCTCACAAGAAATATATGGTTACTAAATTATTAGTATATAAATAATGAAAATAGTCATTTGTTAGTAACTATTATTAAAAATAATGTTTATGAAAATTGGTTTTAAAAAACATGTCTTTAATTGTGATAATACTGACATTACGCATGTACTCGTGTAATCATACATGTATAATATATATATATACTAGGTTAGGTTTGATATATTATAATATGTATTGATAAGTTTTTGATTATAGAATGTGAATATTAAATAAAAATATCAATAATTTTTGTTAAAAAGAATTAAAAATCAATTTGTCCATTCTAGACGTTGTGATGAATGATGGTTTTTACTTAAAGTGATATGTTTATAACTATTTATACTATTTTGCTGCTATTAATAATTATCAATAATTATTAAAAAAATTCATACAACTTTGTGGCAGTGTTTATTTAAATATCGTTAAATAAAATAGATGTAAAAAGCTTTTATCAGTGGAATCTTGTTTTTGTTCAGTAGGGGTAAAAGAACCCTTGTAAAATTATGTAAGATGAACCTTCATATGATGCAGGATATGAGGATCTTGGATATCTAATTTCCACATTTACCATATCATCGAGTGGGGATAGTGTTATATAGTACCTTTATTTGGTTGCCAATGTCTGCTATTAAATTTCATCTCTGTTTAGTGTTCGTAAAATACTTATTACTAAAATGTTTATGATGTTTTTTCGTAAATTTTTAAGAATAATTAGGAATAAAGAACATTTTTAAATAATAATAAATTTAATGTATTACAGAGATTTGTGTTATTGTTTAATAGTTCATCGTGACGATTATAATATTTTTAAATTTAAATGTGTAGCTAGTTTAATTTTCATTTAAATTGAAAATTGTGCTAGTATTATTAAAGTTCTACCGTTCTAAAGAATAAAAATAATTTTTACGCACGGGGCGCAGGTGTATACCTCTTATTAGTTATTGTATTATATAACTGAATAATGTAATTACAAAAGATTGAAATTTAATAGTCTCAAGCGAAACTAGTTTTTAGACCAGCTAATAATATTGTTTGGTCCATTTGATATTTTCGACTTTCAATACGATGATTTAAATAACGACGCGCCAGTGAGGTGTGCATCGGACGAAATTTAATCACGAAATTTTAATGAATCAAACGACCGGATAAATAGATTATTCCGAGGTAGACGTGCGGTATTTCGTCTATAATAATAATCGGTTTGTATAATATTAGGTGTATCCGCCGATGCCGTTGTTTAAAACTTGGTCGTCCAGCAAAACGAGTGCCGGATTTGTACCGCGGGAATGTCTTTTACAATAATTATTAATTATAAGACGACGACGAAGATCGTCTGTCGAACGATTTATTCGTTTTAGACCCGTGACTTGCAACGCCGCGTGCGTACATTTGTGTGTGTGTGTGATATTAATCGAAACATTTACACGGTGTTTAAAATAAAAAAACGTATTCATTAAACGCGTTATTGTTCGGGAGAAAAAAAAAATGTTTTTCTACGGCGACGATTATTGTGTCGTGTCGTGTGTATTGTTCCGGCGAGACCCGCGCGTACATACTACATAAAATACATTATGTATTATTACATCTATCGTGTATTTTTTTCCTCTCTTTTTTTTTTTCCCTATCCCGCGGCAGTTCTGGTGCTGTGTCGGCGGCGGCGTCGAACGCAGAGCCAAGAGGAGAAGCGTCGTCGATGGTTGGCAGCAGTGTTGCGCGAGGGGTCTGTACACACGATCGTCGTATTATAGTGCATAATATTATCCTCCGCGTTTTTATTGTGCCGTATTATTACTATACACACGCACCGTGTTATATATATATACGCGCGCATTGGGCATAATATATATATATATACATAGTAGTGTATAGTTTATGCGGTGGCGATGGCATAGGCAGGTGGTAGTGCGGCGTCGGCGGCAGCGGCAGCGGCGGCGGCGGTTACACACCGTACGGCAGCGGCTTAGAGGTGGTGGCGTGTATATATATATATATGTATGTATATACACACACACACACATCGTATACACGAAGTCTACGTACACGCACACGTTTGCGCGCGCACTCGGTATCGCATCGTGTGTTCCGTACGTAGAGCCTGTTGCTCCTTCGCCGTAACAGCCGCGGGCCGCGTTTCAGTGTAACGGCGGCTTTCCGTGACAATGGACACGACGCCGGAGCCGTCCTCCTAGTCCCCGCCCAGCATTGCGTGGCTTCGCGCGGCGAGCGAGAGAGAGGGATCGAGTGAGACGCATCGAGACGCAGACGGGTGTGTGTAGACCTCTCGTAACGTGAACGTCGTCGTCACGTGCTGCGTGCGTTGTTTTCGTCGTCGTGTCCGTGTGTAGTTTCGCGCGCGCGTGCGTGTTCGTGTGTGTGTGTCTGCGGTGTGTGCGTGCGCGTGTGTACGCACGGCGACCATCTGTGCGCGCCCCGACGTCGTTGTCGTCGCGTATTTCGCGTCTGACGGGGGAATAGAAAAAATAAAAAAAAAAATAAAGAAAAAGATTTCGGGCCCGAGAGGGTGGCGCGTGTGTGTGTGTGTGTGTCTGAACGCAGGCGGCGTAGGAGAAGAGGAAGACGACTGTCGTCGTATACGATTCTCGCAGTGCTATATTAAAACATAGGACATAGAGTATACGAATTCCTGCACCGCCGCGGGACGACTTGACCGCGTGACGATCATCACAGGCCCCGCGCCGGCATGCACCACTACCGTACCAGGGAAGACGAGACGCCCTGCGGGGGCGACCCGTACTTCTATCTCAGGCTGTCGGCCGGCGCTGCCCCCTACAGCCCCCTAGAGCCCATTAAGCTCGAAGTGGACGTGAAACCCGAACCCCGCATAACGCCAGTCGATGACTGCATGCGACGCGGATCTCCGCTGGCCGACCCCGCTTCCGCGGTAATGGATACTGCCGGCGGTTGCGGTAGCGCCGCTTCCGTCGCGGTGGACACCGTTGGTTGCGGCGGCGGCGTCGTCGTAGGTGGAGGTTTGGGTCTCGGTGTCGATTGCAAAGACGAAGGGGGCGCAACCGGAATCGGTCTGCTGGCCCTCACGCAGCTCGACGGTTACGGCGGCGGCTACAACAATAAGTCGTACTGTCATGCAGACGGTGGCTCGGTCGACTTGCAGCTGCAACACGACCGCGTCGGCGACGAAAACGACAAAGACCATTGCAAATATTCGTACAGCCGGCTGATGTACTCATCGCCAGATGATAATATTATAAAACATCAGGTATATTCGAAATTATCCTAACAATATATAAAGCAGACGAGAATACCCGGCAGGATGCCGTCTCATATATGAAACATCGGAACACATAACGTTATTGAATTCTCGTCTTGGTCTCGGTTTGCTCGGGGTTAGGTTAGGTACCTAAGCTACAGCGCCTTTTTAATACTCGAACTTTATACACGTAATTTATTACCGTACGTTAGCGAACGTGGTCGTCATCTTTGGTTCAAAATATCGATTGTATCACAATATCGTATTATCAGTTCTTATTTAAAAACAAAAAATCTTTACCGAGTATTTTTGTTTTTTTTTTTGCATTTAGCTTATAGTTAGTAGAAAGAAGGGGCGAGGAATTTATAAAAAGTTTTTTTTGGAAAATTCTTACGCATTTCAATAAGATACGCTTTGTTTTTTTACACACGCTTGACTTTATTAAGTCGCTATACATTTCCACTTTCGTGCACCGAACTTAAAACTAAGGATTTATTTTAATTTATAATGATATTATTATTTACCTAGGTATATTGCAATGTTATTTTGATACAATAGCTGAGTTCGAACGATTTTAAGCGTGTTTATAAAAATAGAGCTTATAACATCACAACTATAATTATCTTGACTTCATATTACATGGACTGCTATTTGCGTTGTTTTCATTTGAACGTGAAAGCGTTTTTAATTTTAATTAAATAAAAGTTTTAATTGTGTATTTAACTAAAGTTGTACACTTAAACAGAATATATTCCAATATACCTTGTAAATATAACTAAAATTAAATCATTCGTTGTATAGTTTAAATTACAGTCCATTTAGATAAAATTACTCTTTTAAAAATGTATATATTCTAACCAATTTTTTACTAAACTAAATTTCATAGGCCTTATCATAATTTTCATCATTGCTTCACTTTAATATAAAAGTTTAATTTAAATTAGATTGTCATTTATTAAATATAAACACCAATTTATTTTATTGTCATGCTATAATTTCCGTGTACACTAAGGTGTATGACCCCTATCATCCGATGTAACTGGTAAAGGATTTGGAACGTCTTGGAATGATTGGGTGTCCGTGATTTTCTGCATGTAAATAAGATAACATATTGTATTAGATTTTTTAAATTCGAACGACCGTTTTTAGTCTTTTTATACTAAAAATATCTATATAGTAAAGATTTTTTCGAATGTATTTAAATCTATTTTGTATGTAGAATATAATTTATTGAAATTAAAAATGTTTGTCCTGGTTAGAAAAGTTTAGTAACGTTTTATCGAATTTACACTAGGCAGCAGCAGTTAACACTGCGTGAAGTAGCTATAAGTAGGTCTTTATTGTTGATTATATTATTTTGTAAGGTGAACCAAACCAGTTGGCAGATGTTATAAAACACACCTGCCTGCATCCTCACAACAATGGTCTCCTACTCACTGCACCTCTAAAGTATAGCTTGATTCTTTTTTTCTCCCGTTTTGCCTGTCTAAGCTAACTTAAAATTTAATAAATTTCACATTTTCGTTTTACACTCATATCATGATTATAATGCATAATATGTAGTATGCACACATATTCTAATAGTTCGTTAAACAAATTTGATGAGATTATTGTAATTTGTAATGTATTACGAGAGCTTAAACTAAAAACGTGTTTGAATAAGTACTGTATAAGTAATAAATAATTATTAAATTAAAATTCATCAATTTTATAAACAATTTGATATTTATTTTATTAATTATTGTTTCAACTATTTTATTTTATATAAAAATGTAATTTGACTTAAAATACTCATGATGTATTTGTTAGTCTAATCAGGCTTGAGTCCACGGAGGAGCATTACCCCTTTCCGATTCAATAATAATTATTAAAACATAATAAACGTAATTTACACTCTTGAACGCCTTCTAACAAATTGAAAATCTAAATCTTTATGTCTGCGTATAAAAGACAAATTACTTTGTTACATTGTAAAAATAAATTGTATTTTTAATTTTGGACATAATTATGCTCTAAATATTTCTATGATTATAGATTTACTATTAAAAAACTAAGGAAGTCACTTCTTTTAGTAGATTTTGAGTGTATCTCGTCATTGGTTAAGTTAGGTTACTGTATTTAATCATTTAATGTGTTAGTTTTAATTTAATGATAAATTATTGCATATAAGTATGAAAAAATGATTTTAAACTGAAATGGTGTTTCCTACTCTATTTTTAAAGATGTAAAATGTTACATTTTTTTTAAATTAACTATCATAATGTTGTATTATATATTATAACTGTTATTATAAGTCAATACCGCGGCTTGTGGTAAAAACGGTGCGAGTGGTGGGCTTAAAATTTCTTAAAATAAGTCTAAATATTTTTATTGTGTATACAATAAATAGTAGCATAAAATAGTATATAAAATGGGGAAAAATATCAAGTTTTTGCAACAGTTAATATTTGTTGAATGATGACAATATATAATACTAACACATCATTAGAGGGAAAATTGTGAATTGACCTATTATCAAATTTAAGGCAAAAATACTATTTATAAGGCACTGAGAGGTATTTTTGATATTTTAAATTTGAATCAAGTTTTAAACATTATACAATAAGTTTAAAATGAATAAATTGACTAATATTAAAATTAGAGTAAAACAGCTTCTTTACTTTATTGTACAATTTTCTATTGTGCGTTAATAAGGAAGCGACAATACATGAAAGTAGAATGTCTGATAAATAAAATAAGTTCAAAATATTTTAATTTGAAATAATGATAAACAGAAATGTTTTTCAAATGTGAACCCTGCGATCAAAACCATAATTGTATCACAAATAAAAAAAATATTTGAAATTATCAAATAAATAGCATAAAAAACTCAAAATATTTTGAAAGAAAAATAATAATATAAATTTCAATTAATATGATTAATTTTATTTTCAATTCTGTCGTGTTCAGCCTCTAGCCCATGAACCCTCCAGTTGCTGTTGTCCCTGTAAGCCCATGTCTCTGAAGCCCCTATAATTCCTCGTGAAAGTAAACGTTTTCAATGTAAATCTATAATATAAAAATGTATTTGTATATTAAAGGCAGTGAAGGGAATCGTATAGCTAATACGTTAAACATTTATTGGTTTTGTGAGTGAATGACAAAGATAATATTGATGTGTCCTATTTTTAAATGTCTGTTTAATTAAAAAATATCTAATAGTGCTTGCAAATATGATATTTTTTGTTGATTCAACTTGGTTTTAATTACGTATTTATTATATTAATAAATGTATTCGGCAATAAATACTTGTTTTAAAAATCTCGTGATTCCCATCATATCATCTCAACGTCTCATTAAATATTTTCTCATGTAGTAATATACTTGTATCACGATAGTTATATGTATAATCTATTAAATTTTTATTTTTGGCAATGAACAAGTCAAAAGTATTACATTTATAGTTATTAATTTTGTGCAAAAATATTTATGAACTATAGTGTTGGAGAGTTCTTGGCTCTAGAATATACTGTATAGTCTATGAATGCATATTCTTAACGTAATTTATTAAATATATACGCTCAATGGAGTGAAGTATATTACATAAAATAGATAAATCTGAGAATTTTCTAACTTCTAGTAATCTAAATAATTCTGATATATTTTTTGAGGGTTTTAAATATTTATGTTTCTATTTATAAAAATTATACTAGACAAATAAATACAAGTTAAGACGCATATTATTCTATTAATTAAAGAAGTATATTTAATTGCATTATGTGTTATTTATTTATTATTTATCGATTTGAGTAATAGTATCCTACTACTAATAACTATTATAACATCATTTTATGCCTTAACTGTAAATTTATTATAATTTGGTAAAACTGAAAGTAATCTGTTGTAAAAAAAAAAAAAAAACTTTTTGTGTTTAAACAAAATGATACTTTTTACCATTGCCTTAAAACACGGAGCGTTAAAATTGATAAATTTATTTTAAAATTTGAATGCTCGTGATTTATAATCATATTTTAATTTTATATTCTAATCTTAAAATGTTAAAATAACATTAAAAATTTCATTAGAGTATAAGAAATCCTAAATATCAATAAAATAAAATATAAATGTTATATTAATTTAGAATTTTAAGTACACATTTTTATAAACGAATCTCCCATTTTTTCGATTAAACATTCTGTAATTCACGTATTCATATAAGTTCTATTACGAATAATTCCAATTGAACTTTGTGAGTTCCAATATATACGGCATATGTATATTACATACGTTATTTTCATTTTAAGTAAATTATTATCTTATAAATAATAATTTAATTATTTAATAGTTATGAAGAGTATTAAAATGTTAAAAAATTGTTATTGAATATTGTAAAATAATTAAATACCTCATATTGTAAGATAAATAGCATAGAAAGCGATAATTTGCCAGTATCCCCAAACAATATTATTTATTTTTTAATAGTGTATATCTACTTATTATTTATTATAAAAAAATTAAAAAAATTTGTTCCTATTGGATTCAGTAATCATAGATTTTTTTTATCAGTGAACAGAAAAAGAAATACTGCTTAACTTAAATTAATTAAATTTAAAAATTACATTTTTTATGTTTTTTTTTTTCTAAAAGAATAACATTTTATTCATAATAATGCTATTGTATATACATTTGGTGAATACTATCTTACTTTTATTTTTAATTTATGTCTATTTTACGAGTACCTAATAATAAAATGTGTATTCTCAGGGTAGAAATTTAATATAGTCATGTATGTATCTACGGATATTGTTTATGCTTTCTAGTTCAAAAACAATTGAATTGCTGTTAAAAATATATATAATAGAACTCTATTTGTATTATAAATATATATATTTAGTTAATTTGCTTTTTTTTTTAAACTGTGCATTACAATTGCCGTTCTTAAAAGTGTCGGACGAAGTTAGTAATAAAATACAATACATATACAGTACGAGTATGTACTATCGTCCAGATTAATTCATTTTGATTTATCT